GGACCAACACCAGCAGATGACATGGCACCCCAAACCATCACTGACTGTGGAAACTTTACACTGGACTTCAAGCAACGTGGATGAAGTGCCTCTCTTCTTTTCCTCCAGACTCTGGGACCTTGATTTCCAAAGGAAATGCAAAATTTACTTTCATCAGAGAACATGACTTTGGACCACTCACCAGCAGTCCAGTCCTGTTTCTCTTTAGCCCAGGCAAGACGCTTCTGACGCTGTCTGTGGTTCAAGAGTGGCTTGACACAAGGAATGCGACAGCAGAAACCCATGTCTTTCATACGTCTGTGTGTGGTGGTTCTTGAAGCACTCACTCCAGCTGCAGTCCACTCTTTGTGAATCTCCCCCACATTTTTGAAGGGGTTTTGTTTCACAATCCTCTCCAGGGTGCGGTTATCTCTCTTCCTTGTACACTTTTTTCCACCACATCTTTTCCTTCCCTTCGCCTCTCTATTAATGTGCTTGGACACTGAGCTCTGTGAACAGCCAGCCTCTTTAGCGATGACCTTTTGTGTCTTGCCCTCCTTGTGCAAGGTGTCGATGGTCGTCTTTTGGACAGCTGTCAAGTCAGCAGTCTTCCCCATGATTGTGTAGCCTATAGAACTAGACTGAAAGACCATTTAAAGGCTTTTGCAGGTGGTTTGAGTTAATTAGCTGATTAGAGTGTGGCACCAGGGGCCATCAATTTTGAACCTTTTCACAATATTCTAATTTTCTGATATGATGAATTTGAGATTTTCATTTGTTGTCATTTGTAATCATCAAAATTAAACAAAATAAACATCTGAAATATATGAGTTTGTATGTAATGTATGAATATAATATACAAGTTTCACTTTTTAAATGGAATTACTGAAATCAATCTACTTTTTCATGATATTCTAATTTTATGACCAGCACCTGTATATATATATATGTATGTATATATATATATATATATATATATACATGTGTATATATATATATATATATGTATGTATATATATATATATACATATATATACATGTGTATATATATATATATATATATATATATGTGTATGTATATATATATATATACATATATATACATGTGTGTATATATATATACACTATATTGCCAAAAGTATTTGCTCACCCATCCAAATTATTGGAATCAGGTGTTCCAATCACTTCCATGGCCACAGGTGTATAAATTCAAGGACCTAGGCATGCAGACTGTTTTTACAAACATTTGTGAAAGAATGGGTCGCTCTCAGGAGCTCAGTGAATTCCAGCGTGGAACTGTGATAGGATGCCACCTGTGCAACAAATCCAGTCGTGAAATTTCCTCGCTCCTAAATATTCCACAGTCAACTGTCAGCTGTATTATAAGAAAATGGAAGTGTTTGGGAACGACAGCAACTCAGCCACGAAGTGGTAGGCCACGTAAACTGACGGAGCGGGGTCAGCGGATGCTGACGCGCATAGTGCGAAGAGGTCGCCAACTTTCTGCAGAGTCAATCACTACAGACCTCCAAACTTCATGTGGCCTTCAGATTAGCTCAAGAACAGTGCGCAGAGAGCTTCATGGAATGGGTTTCCATGGTCGAGCAGCTGCATCCAAGCCATACATCACCAAGTGCAATGCAAAGCGTCGGATGCGGTGGTGTAAAGCACGCCGCCACTGGACTCTAGAGCAGTGGAGACGCGTTCTCTGGAGTGACGAATCGCGCTTCTCCATCTGGCAATCTGATGGACGGGTCTGGGTTTGGCGGTTGCCAGGAGAACGGTACTTGTCTGACTGCATTGTGCCAAGTGTAAAGTTTGTTGGAGGGGGGATTATGGTGTGGGGTTGTTTTTCAGGAGCTGGGCTTGGCCCCTTAGTTCCAGTGAAAGGAACTCTGAATGCTTCAGCATACCAAGACATTTTGGACAATTCCATGCTCCCAACTTTGTGGGAACAGTTTGGAGCTGGCCCCTTCCTCTTCCAACATGACTGTGCACCAGTGCACAAAGCAAGGTCCATAAAGACATGGATGACAGAGTCTGGTGTGGATGAACTTGACTGGCCTGCACAGAGTCCTGACCTCAACCCGATAGAACACCTTTGGGATGAATTAGAGCGGAGACTGAGAGCCAGGCCTTCTCGTCCAACATCAGTGTGCGACCTCACAAATGCGCTTCTGGAAGAATGGTCAAAAATTCCCATAAACACACTCCTAAACCTTGTGGACAGCCTTCCCAGAAGAGTTGAAGCTGTTCTAGCTGCAAAGGGTGGACCGACGTCATATTGAACCCTATGGATTAGGAACGGGATGTCACTTAAGCTCATATGTGAGTCAAGGCAGGTGAGCAAATACTTTTGGCAATATAGTGTATATATGTATGTATATATATATATATATATGTATATATACATGTATATACATGCAGTACATATGTATATGTACTGCATATTTTTTAAGAGGTCATTCGAATAGAAGGTGTCATAGCCGTCTTCTCCTGTCAGAGGGTGTCATCAGCATATATAACTTTGATAGTAAGAAGGTTCTGGCTGCTGTCATCTAGGTGGTACCAGAGGGTGGAATGTAAGATCTGTAGGATCATTAAACCGGCATTTAGAAATATGATGTTTTGTTTTATGACCTGAAGAAGTGTGTCCTGGTTCTGTTGCTCCTATTAGTTTCAGCTAATGCTAACACAACTGCTCTCTGTCTCCTCCTTTGTCTTCATAAAGCTTTGATAGAGTCAAAATTGTCACATTAAGGTTGTTTTCTTTATTTCTTAAGTGGTTACCTTCTCAGAGAAGATATATTTTTTCTCCACAAAAGAAATCTATTCTGTTGTTATTGTATTTTTATATGATCTGAAGGAACAGTTGTGTCTTCAGGGGTTAAATGAACTTCCTCTTCTTTCTGTCTTGTTTCCCGTCAGGACGGAGGGAGGAGGACGATGGGGGTCAGCTTTTCTCCCCCACTCACTCTGCTGTGTCTCAGCTTCATCTCTGGTGTTTGGACCCTCAACCCCGATGACCCGAACGTGTGCAGCCACTGGGAGAGGTGGGTTCTACTCCAACACTAAGATGATTTAAAGCTGGTCAGGACCGCTGCAGTGTTCTAATGGACTCCCTGCCACAAATCAGGGCCAGGGAGTTCTGCCAGAAGTCAGATGCAAAAGGGAAAAGGTTAACAGCGGGCGACGTGTGGAGGCTGTAAATCCAGAGCCACTGCAGTAAACTGGGATTGGTGGGAAACCCAGAGCTTTTTCTGATGGGCGGCAAAACAGGTTCTGTGATCCATAGCAGGATATCAGCTCCAAACAGGATTACAGTTTCTCCTGCCATCAAAGGCTCACTTCAGGGACCTCCATTCATTCACACTGTTAGAAGTGTCATGGGAGAACTGCTAAAAAACAATATGAGAAGTCCAGTCTTCCTCATGAATCAATGGCTGCTAAAAATTCCTGGTTCCTCTGGGGTCAATATGTCACTGTGTTAAAGAGGAATTCTACTTAATTTTGGTCTATTTCTGTAGCTCCAATTCACATGATATAATCTCAGGTCACTTTATCAGTCCAATCAACATGATCATCCAGTCAGATTGGTTCAGTGTTTTCTATCTAAGGAAAACCAGTTGATTGCATTGAATCACTGACTCTTCACCAATCCCTCACACCAAGCATGCTTGTACCGACAGTGGAGAGGAAAACTCCTTTTGAACAGGAAGAAACCTCCAGCAGAACCAGATCCAGGCTCAGTGTAAGCGGCCATCTGCTGAGACCGACTGGGGTTTAAGGAGACAGAAGCAGACATAGAAAAAGAAGAATAGATACAAAAGGCAACTGTCAACCTGCTCCACAGGAGGCCCCGTCCAGGAAACACACAGCCAGGCAGACGAGCTCCGAGCCCTCTCCCATGTCCCTTGTCTCCCATGTGGATGAAAGAGAGCACATCCAGTTAGTCACAGTCAGAGAAACAGGACTACACTGAAAAACAGGGCAAACTCCAATATCTATAAACAAAGTTATTGATGGCAGCAGCCCAGCTGAATGGAGAGAAATATATGTTAGTATGAGAAAAGAAGCAGAGAGTGCATAACATTAGAGATTGAACTACTGTAACAGATTCTGCAGAGTGGGAGAATGGAGATTGAAGGAAGCCGAATGATGAAAACGGGTCCCTATGTCCTCCAGCAGTCTAAGCTTACAGCAGCATAACTATATAGATGCTCAGGATAATCCGAACCACTCTAACTATAAGCTTTATCTAAAAGGAAAGTTTTTTGAAAGTAGACAGAGTTTCGCCTCATAATGCTGACCTGTTTATTCTGGATTTCTTCCTTTTTAACTGTTGACTCCTACAGAGACGTTCCTCAGGTTCTGGGTAGCTCTAACTTCATTTTTCTTCTTCTGCAGCTACGCCGTCACCGTGCAGGAATCCTACGCCCATCCCTTCGACCAGGTCTACTACACCCGCTGCACCGACATCCTCAACTGGTTCAAATGCACAAAACACAGGTAGGAGCACAGGGAGGCCCTCACACTGTCTGAAGTAATGCAAGAGAACCCAAGAAACCCTCCTATCTGGATAAGCCAACAAAAGACTTCAAAGCAACATAAAAGTATTCACTCCCCCTAGAGTTTTCCATATTTTTTAACAGTATGAACTTCAGTTAAAGGAATAGTACACCCAAAACATGATTAGCCTTCATTTTCTACTCACCCCCATGCTGAACAACACTCTGGAGTACTTTTTTGATATCTCAAATGCATCTGGAGATCTGGGAGGCTTCTTGCTGTCTGCTGACATTCAAATAATGGAGGTGCCCAGCGCCCGAGGCAGAAAGGTCCATAAAAGTCCACAAAAAACGTTTCAATATTCCTCCATACTGCTCGTCCAATTTATTCCAAGTGTCCTGAGTGGGTAGCATCCAGAATTTACTCGAAATGAAGTCATTTAGAATGTTTTTAGAGCATAAACAGTAGTGTATAGGATTTCCTGAAAGCGCGTTCACGACGCTACGGAAACCGCGGCAGACCAAACCAGATGAAAGTGCGCATTCAGCTCGGCAAAGAACTCATGCTCTTCCTCAACACTGAAGTCCTCAGACATTTTTCTTTCGTTGTTTCTTTCTTTGCACAGGTAAACAGCACATTTTTTCTTCTACGCTTGCATTATCGGCAGAGCAGACGCTGAATGCGCACTTTCATCTGGTTTGGTCTGCCGCGGTTTCCGTGGACTCGTGAACGCGCTTTTAGGAAATCCTATACACTACTGTTTAGGCTCTAAAAACATTCTAAATGACTTCGTTTCGAGTAAATTATGGACGCTACCCACTCAGGACACTTGGAATACATTGGACAAGCAGTATGGAGGAATATTGACACGTTTTTTGTGGACTTTTATGGACCTTTCTGCCTCGGGCACCATAGACCTCCATTATTTGAATGTCAGCAGACAGCAAGAAGCCTCCCAGATCTCCAGATGCATTTGAGATATCAAAAAAGTACTCCAGAGTGTTGTTCAGCATAGGGGTGAGTAGAAAATGAAGGCTAATCATGTTTTGGGTGTACTATTCCTTTAAACAGCTGAATTGTGAGATAGAAGGATAATCAGGCCCATGAAAAGTGAGCTGTGCTTTTATATTCAGCACCTCTGAGTTTCTATCTGCCAGCTTTCAATATCTGCAGACTGAAGGTTGGATGCAGCACTGATTCCTAAAGTTAATGAAGGAAATCCCCTACAGACACTAACTAAGCCATAAATATTTATCTTAAAATGTTTAAAGATACAAAAGCATCACTTAAAAAAAACCCCAGCAACTTTGGTGTTTGATGTTGTTTAGAACTGTGTTGTGTAGCTGTAGTGAATTAGTGGTTTACGTCTATGACTGCGATGTGGGGGACCAGGCTTCGAGTCCTGGAAAGAGCATGTAGTAAAGGTCTGCCCAATGTCGGTCCTCACGGGCCACTGTCCTGCTGGTTTTAGAGGTTTCTCTGCTTTAGCACAGCTGATTCTGCAAAAGCCTGTTAATCAACTATCAATGTAAATCAGCTGTGCTGGAGCAGGGAAACCTCTAAAACCTATGGGACAGCGGCCCTCGAGGACCAACTTTAGGGATGCCTGATCTAGTTGCAAACCTTTGCCGAGTGTGATGATAGAGGGAGCAGCTGGATGGAACCAGACAAGACGTTTCCTTTCATAGCGCAATTGTTTTGGTAATGAGTCGATTCTTGCATGAATTTTATGGGTCAGACCAAGGGCGTAGGAATATGTTTACAATTGGGGGGGACACATGTCGGAAATCTGAGATTCGTAAATATTCAACAGAAACATATCTTAAGTACGCTACTTAAAAAAAAGGCTATTTAATCTTTTACTTTATTCCTTTATAAATGTGTTTGCAAAAATAATGCATTTAAAATTAACATAATGCATTTGTTCATAAGATGTGAGTATATCACCAAACAAAATGACTGGAGTCTTTTATTAAGCAAAGGGAGATGTCTTTCAAGGGCTTCAGCCCTTGGCATATTTAGTGTCCGCATACGCACTAGAAAATCAAAACAATTCAGTAGGCCACACAAGTGCAAAGTTTGATATGTTTTATTTTGTCAAACTTGCAATAATGGTCAAAAATGAATTTATATAGGTTGACTGACAGAGGGAGCTGACAGTGTGTTGAAGAATTATGGACAGGGCGCTTTGAAGCATCTGGTTCAAAAACGCATTATCAACCTTTGGTAGAAATTCATCCATCCTTCCATTTTCTGTACATCCTGTCCCTTAGTGGGGTCGGGAGGTGCTGGTGCGGGGTCCACCCTAGACAGGTTGCCAGTCTGTCCAGACCTTTGGTAGAAATGGCGCCTTTAATTCCAGTTTGCAGTACAGAACAGAGAAAACTACAGAGTTGTCAATGTTGTGTTAATCTGTTTATAGTGTAAAAAGAGGAGCCAGCAGTTTATTTGAGGAAATAAAGATGCAGAAGTTAATTAGTTGGTTAATTAGTGGTTGTGCAGCAGTCCACTGCACGACCAATGCGGCCGCCGCTGCTAAGAATTAAAATTAATTCTCCCTGTGGTTAACTAACGATCAGGAGCGCGGCAGGTATAACATCTGTCCATTTCGGCGAATCAAAACCATGCAAAAAATAAAAAATCCTCGTAAAACGCACGCCCAGACCGGGCTAATTTCAACACAAGTTGTGTTAGGTGACTGTTACTCACACTGACGTTTCTCTTTTAAAAAAATCTGAGTAAGTCCTACTGCTGTTTCAGCCTTTTAGTTGGTGGTGGCATTGTACTGAAATGAGATATAAAAAAATATATAAAAAACACATTTTGGCTAGCGTGGCAAACGTCTAGAGAAAGTTAGCAGTTAAATATTGGATGAGTGATCAGCCCAAGACTATGGAAGAGGATTAGGGCCACTGGAGAAAAAAAAAGTTAAGTGATTTTTACATTTTATTTCAGTTTAATACGGGAAAAAAGTCAGAATTCTGACTTTTATTTTCAGAATTAAGACTTTTTTTTCTCAGAATTCTGACTTTTTTTCTCAGAATTTTGGATCTTAATGTAGATGGGCACCATGAAGGAAGAGATGTGGAGCACTCAGCTTCACTGACAAAGATGTGAGTTGTTTGAGAGAGCCAGTGACACATTGGTGGAAAATGACGAAATTAGGCAACTTTTTACGTGCCCGAGGGTCCCCTCATTAATGGAGGAGCAGAAGGTCATTAAAACCAGAGATCTAGTCTCTAAAAGAGACATGGCTATGGCTTGATGCTAACATGTTTGTTGTTAAACATACTTTTGTTATATTACATTTGTGTTGTGTTTTCCAAATAGTGTAGAAAATTAATGGTGGGTTTATAATGTTTACCTTTTATGAGCAGGACAGGAAGCAGAGAAGTGTAGCATTACCTCCAACTAGTTAAACTCATAATTATGAAGTTATTCAACAAATTCCTCAAGTAAAAAAGTGCAACTTTTATTTTTTATTTATTTTTTTTTTTTTACCAGATTTGTTGATTAATTTCAGAATTATGTATTCCTTCCAAATTTCCAAATCTGAAGAATTTTTTAAACCAATATCTACATTATTTAACATTTAGTTTATGTTTTAGCAGTACTTCCTGTTATATTTCTTTATACGTATATTTTACATTTTCTTGCACAGCAAGCTCAGCAGATTTGAAATTGTGTGCTTGTGTACAAGTAGTAAATCTTTACTCTAAACATATATTCTGGTTATTTTTTAGTTAGACCTTCTTGTTTTTATATATCTGTATAGATATATAGAATTCTGAGATTAAAGTCAGAATTCTGAGAAAAGTCAGAAATCAGTTAACTTTTTTCAGTGGCCCTAATCCTCTTCCTACAAGACTAAGATGCCTAAACCAAAAAGATTCAGTTTCTATATATGAAAGTGAACTGACAACAAGACGTTATAAATAAGCAATATTCATAGCAGCATCCCGACAGACCATTTTACCTCATTCACAAGTTTCTGACTTTCTGTATCGCTGTTTCCCTCTGAGTGCTCAAACACTCAACAGTTCACAGAGGGGAGGGGGAGTACAGTGACGTAACGCTATGCTGCGCCTTCAAAATAAAAGCACGATAGTTAAAAAATTGTCAAAATCTAATATTTTGCGGTACAATTTTTGGGGGGGACATATCCACCTGGCTTTTATATTGGGGGGGACATGTTCCCCCCGTCCCCCCCGCTTCCTACGCCGCTGGGTCAGACGCTAGTTTAGGAACTTCTGGGATACAGAACATCTCAAATCATCGGTTGTAAAATTCTAGTCCAATTCTCAGTTAGATTTAGGTCTGGACTTTGACTAGGCCTTTCTGGTTGAAGCCCTGCATGGCATCCCTCCCCTGACTTCTAAAGGGTTATATAAGTACAGACTATTTCAGGTCCTCTATGGCCTCCAACAGGTTCGGACTCAGAATCAGAATCAAGTTTATTGCCAAGTAGGTTTGCACTTACAAGGAATTTGACTTGGCGTTGATGGTGCAGACAATTTAGATATATATACAGAATACAGAATCTAGTGTTTATATATCCTATATACTAGGCTGTATATAAATATAATGCATGAGGTCTGGAGATGCTTCGTTGCAGTAGCGTCTAGGTCCTGAACGTGGGAGGGGGAGAGAGCCAGTGTCAGTATCATGGGGGTCTCTGGGTTTTGTTGATAAGGCTGGTAGCGGATGGTACGAAACTGTTCTTATAGCTTAAGGTTTGGTCCTTATGGACCGCAGCCTTCTGCCAAAGGTGAAGTGACTGAAATAGTTTCTGGCTGGGTTGCAAGGGATCATCCCCAATCTTTCCTGCTTGCCTCTGAGTCCTGGAGGTGTACAGATCCTGGAGAGATAGAAGATTGCAGCTATTCACCTTCCTGCAGACCGGATGACACGCTGAAGTCCACCTTTGTCCTTGCCATCACCATCTGGTACGCTGGTACCAGATGGTGATGGAGGAGGTGAGGATAGACTCAATGATGGAGGAGTAGAACTGCACCATCATTGTCTGTGGCAGGTTACATTTTTTAGCTGCCACAGGAAGTACATCCTCTGCTGGGCTTTCTTGGTGAGGGAGCTGACGTTCAGCTCGCACTTTGGGTCCTGTGAGATGATAGTTCACAGGAAGTTGAAACTCCACAGTTTCAATTGTGGAGTCACAGAGGTTGATGGGGATAGCTGGGACTGAGTTCTTCCTGAAGTCCACAACATGCTCCACTGTTTTTGGAAACTGATCTGATTCCATCTTTAAGTAAACCAGTTCTTCCAGCTTTTTAGTCATTGCTTAAGACAGGTAACTCCACAGCATCACAATGTTAGACTGTTGGGATGCTGGGTGATTTTTCTACCTTTACAATCCGTTTTTCTCAGAAATGAAGCGTGACTTTGGTCTCCTCTTAACAAAGCACATGTTTGCTGGTTTTGCAACATAATTTTCTTTATCAGTGATAAAACCAGAATGAAATCTGTCACTGTTTGTGGCTGCAGTCTGACACACGTGCAAGGCTTTAAAAAGAAGGGTTTATCTGCTGAATTTATAAAAGGCAGCTGCAGTACAGCTTCATGTTCGCTCTTCATTAACTGGCATAAGACGGACTCAGGGCCACTCCAGTGTGTTGGGAACAAACCGCAAAACCTACATTTCCTCCTGCTTGGTAAAGGTTGGAACTCTTTGTTAAGATGCAAACCTACAGGAATTCATGGATATGTGGAGGTCTGATCATTGTAAACTATTGCAGCACATCGTTATTTCGTGCAGCGTGTCTTTTTTTTTTTGGTGTACGGTACTCACAGCATTCTGCTGGGTTTAAAAATACCAGAGTCCTCTAAGCCTCATCAGAGCTACTCCTGAAAGGACATTTCTTCTGATTAAGAGCAATTTTCAATGAATGTTGTCATCAAGTACCTCAAGGTTTAAACACTGAAGCAGAGTAAAAATAGACATAATAAGAAAAGTGGTCCCACAATTTGAGGGGAGGGAGAACGTCACAGCTGATTCAACGCACGGCACATTTACACATTTCTTCTTTCCTCACTGTGGAAAATGAAAAATGTTCCACTTTCCCTGAAGGTCTCTTAGGGGGGATGGAGGTGGGGGAGTTGGAACAATGTTAGTTTCAAAATTCTGTTTCAACGTGACATTTGTCCATTTCTGTTAGTAGCTGCTGGTCACAAAGACAACAGCTGCTTCTGTTCAGTTAACTTAGAGAGTGTTTCATTTATTTCCAAAACTGAATTTACTTGTTATCATTTCACAACTGACACAAAGTAAACCAATATGAAGGGACTAGCATTGAAGCATTGAATTGTCCAACTTTACATTTTGGAGGAAAAAATAAAGAGAACATCACCTTATGTGTGGAGTACGGTGGTGGCACCATCATGCTGTGTTTTGCTGCAGGAGAAACTGGCACACTTCCAGAAAAGATGGAGAGATAACATTGAGTGGACATAATGGAGCAAGATCTAAAGACTCTAGCAAGAATGTTATAAGATTGGACACTAATTTGTATTCCAAATGGACATTTGGTCCTTAGCATACCGTCAACTTACAAACTGACTAAAGGGCAACTCATCCATGTTCTGAATTGTTCAACACAAACCCTTCACTTCATCGCAGAGAAAAGTAGTAGGTGCAGCTAAAAGAGTTTGTGTGAGCAGAGCGTTCTACAAACCTGACCAAGTTACAGCGGTTCGGTCCGGAGGAATGGGCTAAAACTCTGGCAAACTGCACCAGGAAGCTGGTGGAAGACACCTAAACATCTGACTCCTAAAGCTTATAGGAAATTGTACCAAATGAAGATGAACTATATTGAAGGCTGAGTTTTTGCAGAGCATCAGTCTGACCTCCAGGCGAGCAGCCACCAGAGTAACAGTGCATCAAGCAGACAGCAGAGTTCTGTCTGCTGGAGCAACAGGAATGTATCGCCTCTAATGACCACATTAAACTTTATAGAGCTGGTTTACCTCCTCCAGCTAAGTGCTGCGCTGCAGATCCTGAGCTAAAATGTCAGAAAACTGCTCCGTCCTTGAATAAGTGCAGAGCTCCCCTAAATTGCTGCTTGCCTTTCAGAAGAGATGAGATGACTGTTCTTCCAGAATCTCATGGACAGCTTATCTTGCTGCACTTCACTGCATGATATTCAGAAGCAAAAAGTCAGACTTTATTCACTTTAGTTGACCACAGCAAAAACTTAAAATACAGGCAGATTCATTAAGTGAAACACATGATATATAAACATATCAAGATAGAACAATGCAACAAATGATAAAATCTGATATTTAAGATAAGGATGTTACATCAGACCAGGAAGAACATTTTAACACAGAAATATACGGTCGCAGGTTATTTTTTAAAACAACCTTTAATCTGATTTAAAAACAGTTCTACATAGACGGCATTGCATGCTCTGACCTTTCTTTGAATTCGCTTGAATGCCCCCCCAACCATGGTGATGGACGTCAGGTAAACCCTTACAGATTGATGAGATGTCGCAGTTGCTGCTCTGAGGTCTTTGCTGCTGTCTTTCCACTTTAGGAGTGTGTTAACTCACACCTGTTGCTCCAGAGCAGCAGAGTGATTAAATTCCTGTTTTTACTCCCACGCCGCTAATTATGGGTGAATCAGTGCATCTGATCAGCAGCACCTGGATGCTACTTTAGGTTTCTACAACAATAATGAAGTTTTTAGGTTTTCCTGCCTAACTTTTTCTGTTTTGGCTTCATCTTTGTTGCCTCATCTTCATCTTTGATGCCTTTACACCTTTAAACCAAAGTTGATAGATTTGGGTTTTATCAAAAACTTTTGTAAAACAGTAACATTTTTGAGTAAGGAGTAAATGAAATCTGCACGCAGTCTCCTGATAATGACCTGTCTTTTTTATGGGACCTGTGCAGGATCAGCTATAAGACAGCCTACAGGAGAGGTGTGAGGACCATGTACAGGAGACGCTCGCAGTGCTGCCCTGGATTCTACGAAACAGGAGACCTCTGTGTCCGTAAGTTCTCTCCTTTCACAGCAGAGCTGCTGCTCGCTCAGCCTGCTGTCTGCTTTTAATCAGCATGACATGTCGGCACTAACATTGGTCCTATTTCATTCCTTAACATGGTACTGCTTTTTTTGTTTTTGAACAAATTGGTTGGTCATCTCTGGTTGGTCAGTGATGTGGTTAGTCATGTGTGGTTGGTATTGTCTGTTTGGTTATTTCTGGTTGGTCATGTGTGGTTGGTCATGTCTAGTAGGTCATGTCAGGTTGGTCATGTGTGGTTGGTTTTGTGTGCCTGGTTATGTGTGGTTAGTCATGTGAGGTTGGTAACGTCTGGTTGGTTATGTGTGGTTAGTCATGTGAGGTTGGTCATGTCTGGTTGGTTATGTGTGCCTGGTCATGTGTGGTTGGTCCAGTCTATTGGGTCATGTGTGGTTGGTCAAGTCTGGATGGTCATGTGTGGTTGGTCATGTCTGTCTTGTTGGTCATGTGTGGTTTGTCATGTCTGTCTGGTTGGTCATATGTGGTTGGTAATTTTTGGTGGGTCATGTCTGGTTGGTAATTTTTGGTTGGTCATGTCTGGTTGGTCATATGTGGTTGGTCATATTGGCTCTGGTTTTTCCGTGGTATTCTGTTTGTATCTGTCTGGGGTCAGTGGCGTAAATATTGGTAAGCAAAGACAGCATTTGCTTAGGGGCCCACGACTTCTTAGGGGCCCCATCACTGATGCCTGGCGGGTCCCCTACGCAATTGTAGACTAGGATGTATCTTTGTAGATGTAACGGTGCGAAAAATTCCTCTTAAACCCACCTGATGTTGAAGTGACTGACTGCACCACACCGTATTAATACCGCAACACATGCCAGATTTCAACATAATGGTGAGCCGTTTAAACACGACACCAATAGCAAAGCAGACAGTGGTACTTTTAATTACTATTTTAATAACTGTGTATAGTTCATTAGAAGGTTGGTAAAAATACATTCATATAATATATTTCAAACCGCAATAAAGATCTTAAAAGAACAATGTATTTGAGTATTTTATTTTTTACACTATGATTTGGAATTATGGGTAACCCAGAGTGTACATTAAAACCATAACCATTACGTACAACATGTTAGCAGTGATGGATACCCAAAAGAGGTACTTAAGCGGGTTCCAGAAAAAGCAAAAGCAAAGAAGAGCTGCTGGAAGAGCGGAAAAAACTTCCTAAATGTTGCGGTTCGATAAGCATTATAAGCTCCCTGAAATGAGTTTTTGAAACTTGGGATGTCTGTAACATGTAAGGCAAGGCAAGGTAAGGCAAATTTATTTGTATTGCAAAATTCAGTACAAAGACAATGCAAAGTGCTTTACATGATTAAAATATAGGAAAATAAAACAGAATCAAAGCAAGTAGGAAAAAAAATAATGCAGAACCAACATTAAAAAAGAACATTAAAAACAGTTGGACTAAAGAAAATAAAGTTGAACTAATGGTGTTTCAGTTGAACTGTTTAACTAGAACAGTCAAAGGCAATCCTAAACAAATGTGTTTTTAGTCTTGATTTAAAGGAACTCAGGCTTTCTGCACTTTTACAGTTTTCTGGAAGTTTGTTTCAGATAAGTGGAGCATAGGAACTAAATGCTGCTTCTCCATGTTTAGTTCTGGTTCTAGGTTTGCAGAGCAAGAAGAACTGAGTGGTCTGGAGGGTTGATACACTGATAGCAAGTCTGTGATGTATTTAGGTGCTAAGCCATTCAGAGATTTATAGACTAACAGAAGTATTTTAAAGTCTATTCCCTGAGATACAGGGAGCCAGTGTAAGGAATTTAGAACTGGGGTGATGTGCTCTACTTTCTTAGTCTTAGTGAGGACACGGGCAGCAGCGTTCTGGATCAGCTGCAGCTGTCTGATCCACTTTTTAGGCAGACCTGGGAAAACACCGTTGCAGTAATCAATTCGACTAAAAATAAACGCATGGATAGCATAGATCGTGCTGAGACATAAACCCTTTAATCCTGGAAATGTTCTTCAGGTGATAGAAAGCTGACCTTGTCATTGTCTTTAAATGCTTTTGGAGGTTTAAGTCTGAATCCAGCAATACACCTAGATTTCGGGCCTGATCAGTGGTTACTAGCTGAAGCGACTGAAGCTATGTGCTAACTTTAGATCTCTCCTCTATTGGTCCAAAGATTATTTCTTCAGGTTTGTTTTTATTCAGTTGAAGAAAATTATGGCACATCCAGGCATTGATTTCTTCTAAGCATTTCATCAGTGCTTGAACTGGTTCATGATCACCTGGTGAAATGGTGATGTAAAGCTGTGTGTCATCTGCATAGTTATGGTAGCTGATGTTGTTTTTTTATTAACTGAGCAAGAAGGAGCATGTAGATATGAATAGGGGACCCAGGATGGACCCTTGGGGAACCCCACATGTGATTTTTGTCATCTCTGATGTAAAGTTGCCTACTGATACAAAAAAGTCCCTGTCCTTTAAGTAGGATTTAAACCAGTTGAGAGCTGTACCAGAGAGTCCGACCCAGTTTTCCAGGCGCTCTAAGAGAATGGAGTGATCGACAGTATCGGATGCTGCGCTGAGGTCCAATAGTACCAGCACTGTGGTTCTTCAACAGTCTATATATGTGTGGTGGTGCGCTTTCACCAATGGTTCCATTCAAGGTGCGCAGATACTATTTTTCTGTGTGATATATGATCATATATTACTGAGAATTGCATAATTGTATCTTCTTGTCTGATTCATGGAACTGTCGCCATATCCCGAACCTTTATCACATGTTGTACTTCATATAGGGCCCATCCGGATCCTCATCCAGGGCAGAGCATCCCTGAGATATAAGACACCATCTGTTATCATATTACAGCCGAGTGGAACACTGATATATGGTGTGAGTGACATGGTCTGAACACCAAGTCAGCCTCCTAGGGGCCATGCCCACAGCCGGAGATGTTGAGTGTTGGCGTGCCATATCTGTTCCCCCAACTGAGTAGAAGTTGCAGGAACCCGGCTACGCTGGCCAGAACAGGGTTTCCAGCATCACACTCTGACCTTCCTCGAGAACCCTCCGTAGTTTAGGCCAAGAGTGTAGGCCAGAGAGAGGGTCAGAAAGGCATACAGGAGAACCTGCAGCCAAGGATAAGCTAGCATGTCCTGGCCCGGTGCGCCTGGTACCCCTGTCAGGGAAAACCATAGATGCAATGGGTTGACACCTCTGAAGTGAACAGATCTACCTCTGTCTGGCCAAAGAGGTTCCAGATAATTTGGATGATGTTTCAGTGCAAGAACACTCTCCCAGAGATGGTTCCTGGGGGGATAGAGAGTCTGCAACCTAGTTGCAGATACGCTGCACGCAGGGTGTCTGCAACCTAGTTGCAGATACGCTGCACGCAGGGTGCACAGATGGGGGAAAGCCCATTCCAGGAGATCCCTGGACACTTTCAGGAGACGTGCATCCCTGGTGGTTGATATGGTAAAGAGCAGAGGAGATGTCTGCTGATGGGAAAAATGTCCCACAGCTGGCCCGGTAGCATAATCTTCTCTCTCCCCGGCCTTTGGGAGCCCTGGTGGGAGGCCGTCCAGGACCTGAGGCCCAGTTCTGTCCAACTGGCCAGCAGACTGGCACCTGAAAGTCTCTGCCACACATGACGGGGATATGAACCAACGGGCCTTTTACCAGGGGTAGCAGCAGGGCACCCCAAATGCTGAGAGAAGGGGGTATGCTAGTCTGCCATTCCTGAACATTCTGCTCCAGCAGCTCCAGGGCAGCCTATTCAATAAATTCCTTCGTCCCAACTGAGAAACCCCTGAGGATCCTACAGCATGCAGTCTGTGCAAGGCACAGACTGTCGATGAGCTCGGACAAGGAAAAACATGACCTGGCCAAACTCTCTGGTTATCAGCGCAAATGCCTGCAGCGCTGCTTTGCTAAATCCAACTGCCGAGGTTGTACCCCCAGCATCCTGAACAGATGCAGAGAGCAAACATTAGGTGCACCAGAGAGTTGCCAAGGCGGCCAGCACACGGCCCTGGGTTGTATGCTTTACACAGGAGGTCATCTGTAACCCAACATTAAGTCTGTGGGCATTGGACATTAGGATACAGTGCTTCATCTGGTAACACAATCAATGAAGCAACAGTGGGTTTAACTGCAGGCATGCACTCCAGGCCAGCCTTCACAGACTCGTGCATGGCAACCAGCACCTGACCGTCTGAGGAGAGACGTGACAACGCTCTCGGGTCCTGCCAACAGGTGTGCTACTCCCTCAGGTATTCAGGTACAGAAAAGTTAGCAGGAGCCCATAGCGTCTGAAAAATGCACTCCTGGAGTCAGATACTTCTCCTTGTGGGAGGTCCAGCTGCAGCTGCTTCAGGGCCATAGACAAGACATCCCGCATGGGACTTTGGTGACTGACTGCTCTACACCGTTCCCTTTAGGAGGATGGTCATGTTTTCAAAAGTCAGCAGCTGCATGACAGAAGGACAGCATGGTGGGAATAAAAAGACGCCTTGTCGCTAACAAAAGTGGGAGGTGGTACCATTACCTTCTGGGTTTGACCATGAAAAGATCAAAGGCTGCATCTGCAAAAACAGAAAAGGGGTCAAAAGCAAAGTAGATGTAGAGACAAAAACATAATCAAAAACACATAAAGGAGGAAGCTTTACACAAAATAATGTTAAATAAACTGTTTATGTGGTTTTGATAATGGTCATAATGACTTTAATCATCATTATTTTCAATAATTCAGCCCTTTCTAAAGCAAACCTTAACTTCCTGTTGGGGATTTTCTTTGCAACAGTAAGAGTCTGAGCTGCCAGAATAAAAATGACTTGCACTCCAATTTCTAACAATTTTCACCAAAGGCATGTACTCCTTCCTCTCTCCTAAATAAGGAAAAATCTGTTTCTACTTCTTACATTAAAGAGCAGAGGCTTCAACAGAAGCACATCAAATTCTTATGTAAAACAAATCTGTTTCTCTCTGCGAATTTTCAGTTATTTCACTAAAAA